TTCTGGTTTTTCTTTTTAAGGAGTTTCACTTCTCATCCAAGAAACTTCTTCGGTTCTGATTAGATGGTGGGGAATGGAAGGACCTGACCATCCTATCAGTGCTGAAGAAGCTTCTGGGATGAGAAGCAAAACATTTTCAAAAGGAAAAAAACAAGAAACTCCAGTTGTCTCCTGAAAAAGCACCTTTGGGACAACCATGACCTGGATGATTGAGAATCTCTCCATAGACATTTCTTACAAATGTTTTTTTTTTCCAGCGTGCATATTATTGGTAAAACTTTTGTTGATTTTCCAATATAGATATCCTCAACTTACAACCACAACTGAGCCCCAAACTGTTGTGTTAAGTGAGTCATTCCCCATCTTATGACCTTTTTGTCATGGTTATGAAGTGAATCACTACAGTTAAGTGAATGATGTGGTTGTTAAGGAATCTGGCTTCTCCTGTGGACTCTGCTTGTCAGTAGAATCTCCAATAGAAGATTACTTGTGTTTTATTTGTTTTACTAATCTACATGAAGAAATGTTAAAATACAATAGCACTTACTTATATACCGCTTTATAGTGCTTTTCAGTCCTCTCTAAGAGGTTTACAGAGTCAGTCTATTGCCCCCAGCAATTTAGGTCCTCGTTTTACCCACCTCGGAAGGATGGAAGGCTGAGTCAACCTTGAGCCTGGTGAGATTTGAACTGCCAAATTACAGTAGGAGTAGCTTGCAGTACTGCACTCTAACTACTGCGCCACCTAGGCTCCTTTTTTTATAATGCTAACCCATGTATGATATGCCACATGCTAAATAAATAAATAAGGTTACAAATGTCAATCCCAGGGCCCTGAGTTTTATGCTACCTTCATAAATATATGCCAATTGCCAAGCACTCAAAGCATGATTACATGACCATGGGTGTGCTGCAATGATTGTAAGTGTGAAAAATAGTCATGTCACTTTTCTCAGTGCTATTGTAATTTTGAATGGTCACTAAACAAATGGATGTAAATCAAGGAGTACCTGTACTAAGAAGTGTAAACACTGATGGAATTATATTTTTATGTATTAAGTTTTTTTCTGTTTGACTTGTGGAAGAGACTAAGATTATTATATATTTTAAGTGAAAACATCCACTTAAACATCACCTGCATTGAGGAGGGCTTGGAAAAATCCCCCCAAATGCCCTGAAGCATTTCCCACCATCTGAAATTTGAGGTGTGTCAAAAACCAATGGGAAAAATCGATATACAGGGAATCCTTGGTAGACAATTAAGACCAGAATTTCTATTACTATGCAAAGTGAGTTGTGCCCGGTTTTTCCCTTTTTTTTACCATGGTTGTTAAGCAAATCACTAGAACTAAGTAAATCACATAGTTCAGGGGTGTCAAACTCACGTCATCATGGTGGCCTCACGTGACATTTCCCCCTTTGCTAAACCAGGTGTGGGCGTGGCCAGCATGCGACACATCTGTGGGCTGCCCATATTTTGATCATGTGACCGAGGGGATGCTGTGATCATGATAAATGTGGGGACTGATCATAAGTCACTTTTTTCAGTGCCATTGTCATGTCACTAAATGAATGATTGTAAGCCGAGGACTATCTGCATATATAACCTTCTATTATTGGAAGGTCCTTACTGCTTCCATTAATAAATAGACACTTTCCAGCTTGACAGAAAGAACAATCAGCCATAGGGTACCAGCTTTTGATAAGCAATTGTAAGTGGAAATTGGATAGTTCTGACTTATGTCCAGGTTTGTACACTTGTGCTGTCTTAAAAATTGGGGCGGCTGGGATAACAAATGTAATGAAAGGTAGTGAGTTGATATGGCCCAATGGACCAGAAAATTATTATTTACAGCAAAAGGGCCAATATTTGATTTACCGGATTAAATCACAGAGATGCATAAGCAGTGAGGTCTCACAAGATGTTCCAGAACTAATGTAATAATTCAGGCTAATGGGATCCAACTGTATTTAGATAAGGCATCTATGCCATCTAGTGTTAGATTTTAAAAGTACCAGCAATAACCAACTTCATATTCTCCAGTTTGAATTTTAAATCCCTGTTCTGACCCAGGCTTCATCAAACTTAATAAAACACAAACTGAATTTAAAAGTAAAACCTTTTTTAATGCGACGCTGGGAATTACTTGAATTCCCAGCCAAAACTCATTATACACAGTTCCTCCAGATAAGAGCACGCTTTTCAGTGCTGTTGAATGCTGCCAAGAAACAGAAGTCCAATTAAGGCTAACATCAACCAACCCAAAAACCTAGGAAAAAACTGACCAGAGTAGAGCTTCACAAGGGATTCGGAGAATTACTAAAATGCTTTGCTTCCTGCAAAGCTCTTTGTCACTGAGGACTGACATTTATCCCTTATGGGAGGGGCAATCATCTCCCAGCCCTGCTCCTGAGTAGCCCCTTCTGCTTCAACTGCTCTTGCCTTCTAGCAGCTCTGCAGATACGCACACTGGGAACAGGCTCCCTGGATTCCTCTGCTTCGCTGCTGCCAGACTCCAAAAGCTCCGAAGACAGCACCCCACTCTCAGATGGTCCTGGCCCCATCCCTGCATTGGATGCAGGACCCTTGTCCAAATCCTCTCCAGATTCCCTGACTGGTTCCCTTTCGTCCTCATTGTCCGATACCTTTGCCATCCGCACTGGCTGCCAGCGAACCACAACAATGACAGGACCAATTTTGAGTTGTACCTGAGACACTTGAAGGACATCAGCTTCCCTCTTGGAAACATACTTTGGAACAGCATCCATGCAAGGAATTTTGGGGGCCCTTGCAGGACTTCAATAATTAATATTACAATAAAGAATGCAGAATGGGGAGGTCTACTCTAACTTTGGCAGGTCTTCTATTCTGTCACCAGTTATAGGTAGTCCATGACTTGCAATCACAATTGGGACCAAAATTTGATAAGTGAGTTGTGCCTGATTTTATGACCTTTTTTTTGCCATGGTTAAGCAAGTAACTTTAGTTAAGTGAGTCTTGTGGCCATTAAGCTTACCCAATTCACTTTGCCTGTCAGAAAGTAGTTGGGAAGATTGCAAATCAAATTCATGTCATCACATGAACTGGGACACTGCAACTACTGTAAATACATACCAGTTGCTGAGCACCTAACTTTTGGGATACTGCAATGGTTTTAAGCACAAGAACTGGTTGTAAATCACTTTTTCAGTGGTGTCGTAACTATAGTTTTGTATATCGCACAATCTCAGAAACACTAGATTAACCAGTACGTTGTGATGGCACAGTGGTTAGAATGTAGTATTGCAGGCTAATTCTGCCGACTGCCAGCAGTTAATTCCTGACCAGCTCCAAGGTTAAGTCAGCCTCGCAAGGTTGGTAAAATAAAGACCCAGATTGTTGGGGTCAATATGCTGATTCTGTATACCACCTAGAAAGGGCTATAAAGTATGGTGAAGCAGTATATAAGTTTAAGGGCTATGTTGTGTAGTTTCAACTTCACTGTGTCTCTGGATTGTTGTGAGGATAAATAGAGAGAAAAGGCAAGTAAGCAGTAACATGTGAGGCTTGGAAGCAAGTCCTCTTGTCTACAATGAAAATACAGCATTAATGGAGTGTGACCATAAATGTTCTCTATTTCAGAAATCTGTCCTTTGTTTTTCAAAAACTCACTGTCCTTTATTTTGATCATTAACTTTTACCATACTGATAGCCACTTAATGCAATTTTTCAATTCATGTGGAAACTATGGAAACTGAATTGTTTTTTAAAATAAATTTACACGTACTGTTTGGTTTTAGGTATTTTTATTAGAATATGCATTTTGGTAAAGTTTTTCTTCATTTTGTTCTTGATTTCCCTTTGTAAAGCAAAGTTGTAATTTTTTTTATTATGAACTGCTTTCAGGTTTGTTTCTTTTTCAGGTTTGTACTTTATATCCTCCCCACCACCACCATATATTAATGAAAGTTGAAAGATAAAAGATTAGAAACCAGGAGACTGTGAGTTCTAGTCAAGCATGAAAACCAGCTGAGTGACTTTGGGCTAGTCACTCTAAGCAGAACTCACCTCAGAGAATTGTTATGAGGAAAATAGGAGGCAGAAGTACTATTGGGCATGTTTGCCTCCATGCGTTATTCATTTATAAAAATAATAAAGGTGAAATAAAAAAAATCTGAAACAAAGACTAGTAATTAATAAGTAGTGTTCCTTTTTGGAATTTTAATTTCTTTGCTCTGTATTTAACTGTAGTAAAGCTTTGGTATTACAACTAATGTTGGGTTAGAATCTTTTTTAAAACCTTAAAACATTTCAGAATGTTGCATCATCTTCCAGTTTTATCAGTTTTGTGTCATTATTCATCAAGGAGAGAGACAAGAGGCAACTTCTCTTCTGCCACAATTTTTATTGGTTTAGTATGAGTTTATCACACTATAGAAAGCCAGTCTCGGGGCATGTAATACATGAATACATAATCTGTAGAAGTAGTTACACTTTGACTCCCATCTGTTAAGCTTTTTGTACAGAGGAAACAAACAGAAAAAAGGCAATAATAAAATAAGACATTCGCTGTCAAATCAATTTTCTTCGTCTAACAAAATTTGATAGCCAAAAAAGTGTCTAAAACTACAAAATTAGGATACGTACCACATGGGTAAAAAGTTATCCATTATTTTTATTATTATACTTAGTTTTGACTGGATTCTGTTCCTGTTCAAGAACCTGATAAACTGGACTGGTAGGATTAGTGGATTAATATATCTCTTCAAGAATAAACGCTGAATGCTCTCCATTGATAGTTGTACTAGAGCTAGTTTTTGACTTCCTGTGAAATGGCAATGCGTATATTTATTTGAAACACAAAGAGCAATAACAGAGTTGGAAGGGACCTTGGAGGTTGTCTAGTCCAACCCCCTGCTCAGGCAGGAAACTCTATACAATTTCAGACAAATACTTATCCAATCTCTTCTTAAAAACTTCCAGTGTTGGAGGATTCACAACTTCTGGAGAGAAGTTGTTCCACTGATCAATTGTTTTAACTGCCAGGAAATTTCTCCTTAGCTCTAGGTTGCTTCTCTCTTTGATCAGTTTCCATCCATTGCTTCTTGTCCTGCCCTCAGGTGCTTTGAAGAATAGCTTGATTAGGAGTCAGGCAGCACCGCAGAATTGTATAGATTGTATAAACCATAGCAAAAGGCAGTATCCCCAAATTTGGTACCCTCCAGATGTATTGGGCTATAACAAAATTCTCAGCATGGTATAATGAGAATTAGAGACTGGCAAGTCAAGAAAGCATCAAGTTTGAGAACCTAATGTGCACAGGATATAGAAGAATACATCTGCTCTTCCGTTTCAAAAGGAGACACAAGATTCTCAACCATGCTGCCAAAATTTTTACAAAGTTGCTGTTTCCTACAGGGAAAAAAAAAAAACCTTCTGGATTTTTGGCAGTCCCACTCTGGACGGGGACAACTCACCACAGCCAACTCATTGCGGCCAACTTACCACAGGAAAATTTAGCAATTCAATTTAATTATTGAAAATAAATGTTTTAAATCTTTTAATTTTTGTCATCCACATTTCATTCTGTCCCTCCTTTTGCATCCTTTTTTAATGATTCTGTTCCACCATTTCTTTGATAATATCCCACAGTGATTTGTCCTACGGTGAGTTGGCTGTGGTAAACTGTCACAGGCCCATCCCACTCATCTACCACACAGCAATGCTACAAGTTCAGACTTTCATTAAGTGTCCCAGAAACCCGTCTGTTACTTAAAGTTAGAATAGCTGGAAAATAAACCAGGAATATTAGCACTTTTATAATGTTTTTTGTTGTTGAATTTTGCTTTCCATCCCTCTTTTTTATCCTGATGAAAATGGTAGGATGGACTGGCCTCTTGCTTGTAATATAGCACAATTACTTTGGCTTGCAATCCTGTGCAGATAAACTACTACCAGTTTTTAAGGGTCATAATGGATAAATGTTGCCATTAGGTGAATAAATAAAGTGAACAAGCAGCTGGAAAGGATTCAAATAATCTCAGCTCTCTATCAGAAGATGGAAATTAAAGAAGTTAATTGACACTGTTCTTTCAAAGACAGTGTTTGCACACAAAAATAAACTAGAATTCTGATGAATTCTGGCTAATAGTGAATGAATAGTATGCCAAATAGAAATTCCCACTTCCTTTTGCCTATTAGCCCAAGAAAACACATTTGTCATTGGAACCTGGATTCTCTGTTAATTGCCCCGCATATAGCAGTGCTCATAAACCAACACCAATCTCTTGTTTAGCTGTAGAATAAACCAGGATTCCATACTTGGACATCAAGGTACAATTTCTATTTCTGGCTAGTTAAACTGTTCAATGTATAGAATTAGCCCAGCAGGAGCAAACTTTACATTAATTCATTTATATATCCAAGATCCTGCTTCTTATACTGGCCATTTCTGTGATTCACTTCCCCAAAGGTAACTTTAATTAATGACATGATAAAACAGTGTCAGTGAAAAGAAAGAGATGGTAAAGATTTGTAGAACAGTTGATTTTTTGGTTTATCCACAAATAGACATAATTTATCAAAGCAAAAAAAAAAACACCCTGTGTTGAGAATTATCACACTAATAACATCTCATTAGAGTTCCCAAAAATATTATTTTTCTGTGGTTTTACTTGTCAGCTTGCTCCAATTCCTGTGCATCAAAACAGAACGCAAAAAAAAAGACAACTTGATTAGAAAATACCACCATCATTATTTGCACTGCCCATTTTTTTGCAGGGGAAAAAAAGATTAAGCAGCAACATTTCAGGTGATACAAATCAATAAAGGAAAATAGAAAAATGACAAAGAGCTGAAGAAAAATAAGAGGTATATGAAGACAAATGGGTAACTTATTCTTCTTAATACTGTAAATCAACTTTCCTCATCCTGATGACTCCAATTGGAGTGTTGGGACTCCAATTTTCAGACTAAATTAGCATAGTCAAAAGCTAGACATCTTTATGTGGGCTTGGAGATCCCAATAAAACCAGAGGACATCAGTGTGTGGAAGTTTACTGTACATACTGGCAAATCCATCACTATGAAAGTAGAGTCCAAGGCCTTTTGAAGGATCATAAAATACATGACGCTGACATGGCACTTCCTCCTAGGTAGCAGTTTTCAATGAGAATCAGTTGGCCACCTTAAAAGAAAAAGCAGCAAAAAACCACATTCGCAATCTTAAAATGCCTGATCAGAGCCCAGGGAGACAGTTTCTCAATTGGAACCCTACATTCTCCATCACCAGATCCCTACAACAAATAATCTCATGGAGAGGACACCAAATGTGAAGCTCCGAGATAGCATCCTGGTTCTAAATTCAACCCTCTCAAGGTAAGAAGCAGAGCCTAAGAGGCATAAAGAAGTAGTGGAATAATCTGGTCTAAGTACCAAAAAAAGGGGTCCAGTTGAATTCCATACCTCATTAGAGCAGGCAGCTCACTTGTTCCAAGGTTCAGCTGTTTGGACCTTTGGTGCCCTGGGATTTTATACGTGAGAGGCCACAGGACTAGGGTTACATGGTTAGGATTACAGGAAGAAAGAACATGTATGCATGATAAGCTCTTTGTTTTCAAATTCCATCGCCCTCTTTCAAAGGGTTTGTGTTTCCGTAACAGTCTTTGAAACTATGCCAACAGACTAGCATCAATTCAACCTGTAGGATACATCTTTCTGAATGCCAGTCAGCCATCTGGACTCTTGTTTACTTTGCTCTTTTCAGCTGGCATCTCTGAGTTTGATGAGAATAGCAGTAATGTGTTCTTGCTTCGGATGGTTACTAGAACTCACAACAATGTGGACTTTTTGTTCCTCTGAAATCCTCAAATCCCCTAGTGGTGGTGGGATTGAGAAAACCACAATGTAGTATTTGGGGGGAGGAGGAATGAAGAGAATGAACGCTCACTCTGGGGGTGAGGGGAAAGTAGACCTTTCTCGGAGGAAAGATGGTTCCTCTGAACCACTTCTTAGGTTCTCTCTACTTAGCACCAATTTCTAGTCAGCTTCTTTTAACAAAGCCACGTTTACAAAAGAAGGCATTTTGTAAGACAGCACTCATTCTCTTTCAAACCTGTGTACCACTAGCAGAAAAAAGGAGAAAAAAAACCCCATATAAACACACAAGCGAACATTCTTGCTCCAACCATTCATATTTAAACACTTAAGACATCTTCTCATCTGGGGAAATTCATCTGGGTCTCAAATTTATACATGCAAGAAAACCAAGGGAGAACATACTATCTGAAGATTGTTACCACAGGCTGCAAAGCAACTTGTGCTCTGAAGGTTAGCTCGAATTCTTCTGTCCTTCACCCCAAATAAGCTACTTTCTTCCCTTTTCACCTCAAACAAGCTACTTTCCTTGTTATTTGCGTTGGCAGAACATACAAATAGACTGATCTGTGCAGAACAGAAGCACAGAGCCAGGCAACCTATTCTCCGCATATTTTGGATTTCCCCTTCTCAGTTTTTTTTTTTTTTTTGCAGTTCTGTCTTAATGATTGGAAGCTGAAATCCAAAATACTTGAAAGGCATCTTATTTGGATGAAAACCTTTCAATTCTGCTGCATGTGTAAATGGGGCCTAAGTTTAATTTAGTTTTATTTATTAAAAAAATAAATAAAAAGAAGAAGCCTTAGCCTATATTGGGAAAGTGTTTCAGAATTTCAAGCGTAATAAGTCAAAGAGAAAGGAAAAAAAATGCCACCCCGCTCCACCCTCAAAACAAGGACATCTCAGCTACCACCAGAGAGTTGCTGATTAGATCTCTGGGTCAATCTCAACTTTAGTTTCAAGGGCTAACCATCATTGGCTTAAAGAAGATGTATCTCTGAATAGATGAGAGATGTAACTATACGGGCACCAGCTTAGAAGTCCACCATTGGCTCAAAAACTCTAAAATCACCAATGACTTGATCATTACTGAAGTTAAAATAAGTTAGAGAAGGTCCACCCCAAAAGGCGTATCCCATGTTACATCATTAGGTTTAAGCAAAGTCTCTATATTTCTGACCTCAAAAGAGTTTGTTTGTTTGCTTAAGTAGAGGACAGAGATTCTTTTCAAACAGACACTGGGTTGTTCCCTACGGTCAATGGTACTCGATCTTAGCTCTTTTGCAGACCTGTAACCAGGGTCCATCCGGCGGATCTGGAGGGGGAAATCTGAATGCATCTGTGCAAATTATTAGCTACTTAAGCAAATATTCAAAAGGGGGGGTGGGGCGTCGCTTAGAAAAATCTCCAATGTCTTTCAAAAGCCACTGAAATGAGGTATCTCGCCGGCGCAGCAGGAAGTACCTCCCCAAAAACCTGACATGATACCCCATGCCAGTAAAAATGACTGCCAAAGGCTGCAGGTAGCAAAGGAGAAATTCAGCCATAGGCACAACTGCTGTACCGCATCTTTGGAGGAACTGGACTCAACGTAGAACTAAAGAAATCACCGGGGAGGAACCGTCGTTCTTGACTTCCACTTGGTTCACAGAATGGAAATACTTTTGGTGGTGCTTGAGGGAGGCATCTCCAAGTTTCCGTCTTCTCAACAACAGATCCAATGATTTCCATATTCCTTTCCTTCCTTCCTTCCTTCCTTCTTTTCCATCAGTGTTTCTCCTGTAAGAGATACGGATTAGGAATCTGATTCAGTGCTCATGATTAAATACAAGCAGTCCTTGACTTATGACAGTAAGACCCTGCCCATTATGGTCGTAATTGTGGTTGGCCATAAAGAGGGTCATCAAATGATGGATTCAATTTTATTTCCCTTGTGACAGTTGTTAAATGAATCACTATGGTCAGGAAGTGAATTCACAGTTGCTAAGTGAATGATATGGGGGGACGGCCATCAATGATGATGCTATCTAGTTTGGTAATGAAACATCTGCAAGAAAACCACTGAGCTCAGAGAGCACTAAGGACCCCACAGTTCAATCCTGAACTACAAATTCTGTCTTCTAAAGCTTGTGATGGCTGGTTTTTTGCCCTCTTTCCAAGTAACATTGGTAGGTTTCCAGAGGCAGTCCAAAATGATGACATCTTAATCGTCTTGAAAGGCCTAGGTCAAAGGTCACAACAATTAACTAACCTGCTTCCTGGTTCAGCCTTTGAATGGCTTTAGACAAGGGCTGTCAAACTCAAGTCCTAGGTGCCAGATCTAGCCCACGGGGTCGCCTTGGAAACAGCCCATGATGCCTCTGCCAGCAAAAACGGAGCTTGGGAGAGCTGCACGTGGCCCTTGCAAAGTCCATTTTACTGGCAAAGGGTTGCAGGACGCTGTCCCAGCTGAAAACAGAGCTCAGAAGGACTACACATGGTCCCCCCCGAGCCCCGTTTTCGCTGGCAGAGGGTTGCAGGAGGCTGTCACATCTGAAAACAGAGCTCGGGAGCCCGTTTTCATTGGCAGAGCACTTGGGCTACCACAGGCGCCCCCCTCCATGAGTGATGTCATGCTGTCCATGCCTACCTTGTCTACGCTCACCCCGCCTCCCCCGAGGTCAAACACAACCCTGATGCAGCCCTCAATGAAATAGAGTTTGTCATCCCTGGCTTAGACCAACATATCTGAGATCAGCTGGAGTTGTCAGAAAGAAAAGAGTTAAAATAAACTTTGCCTAAAAAAATATCATTTATGGACATTTGCTGAATAACTGATATGATCATCTACTACAGCAAGATTCCATTTCTGCGGGGGGAAAAATGGACAATTGCAGGGTTTTTTTAAAAAAGCAGAATGAACCTGTTTCAATTTGGAGAAGAAAGTAATTAATATTAAAAACACTCGAAGCTACAACTTCTAATTGCACCTACCTTACACAATAAGCAGATAAGATACCTGCTATCTCAATTTCAGGAATAAAGTCAGAAGTGGAACTGGAGAAATTATTACATGAAAGATATTTAGAGTCACCAACCTCCTGTTTGTGAGACTTTTCCTGCTGATGGACTCCATTAGCAGATCCAGAGTTTCCAATAGTCTAAAATTTTTAAAAAGAGCTTTGGTCACAGATGATTTATGAATTCACACAATTGGACAATGCATTAAAAAGAGATAGAATTTGAGAATTCCGTTTTGAGCTTCTTCGGTGACAGACCGAAACCTCGTCTCTCCGAGGCTTCGATCTGTGCTCGCCACTGGAGCGCCCCGAGCCGGCTGGTTTTGGGGCTAAGTCACCCCGTAGCGGTGGTGAAGAGGGAGGAGACTGCCTGCAGGGTTGAGGAGAGCCACATCTCTCCTCCCCAGCTGGCCATTATTCCCTTTCCCAAAGGCGGTTGTAGCAGTGGTCAGAAATGGTCACCACAAAGAAGAACTCGACCGGAAAAGAATGTGCAGGAGGAAGATAAGAAGAGAAAATTTTGGTTGACCGGGTCAAATAGCAAAAGCAACAAATAAGGTACCCTGGAATTTAAACTTAACAACATTGTTCCCAAAGAAGATTTTGAAGCTGCGAAGGAGAGAGAGAAGGGAAAGGATTAGGTTTTTTTTCTTTCCTTCCTTATACTGATTGCTAAGAGACTTAAGCAAGAAATTGAAAAAAAAAATCCACTTTGACATTAATAGGCATCTAAGCTGAAAATAAAAGTCAAAGGGATAATAAAGATTTCTGGACATTTAAAAGTTTTTAAAAGCAGGAAAGGAGAAAAAAAAAGAATAGAAGGGCAGGATCTGGAAAAATGGAGGAGACTGCCTGGAATTAAGGAATGGAACTGTAATTAAAAGGAACTTACAGTGAAATTTTAACAAGATTCCTCAAAGATACATTTTATTTGAAACTTGGTAACAAAATAATAGAAACCCAGGAAAAGAAAGTGGAAAAAAGAAGCAAGTAGAAACAGCCTTGGATTATTTGGATTATTTGGTGATTTTTGGTTTTTGCATCTAGATGACTAAAATTAACCGTGTGGTTGTTTAAAAGTTTTTAAAATGGTATCATTCTTAGAAGAACTGAAAACGGAACTTAAAAAATGGAAAGAAGATGCACAAGAAGGGAGAAGTTCTTTTGGCTTCGTGTTTCAATTCTTAGAAATGGAGATCTGGAACTATGAGAAGCAACAAGAAACGCTTGCAGAACAAGAAGATTGGGACAAAGAAGAAGCCATCTTTAATGATCAAATAATTTTAAGTGGGGGGAAAAAAGAAAAGGGGGAAAAGAGAGTGAAAGGTTTAAGACTAGAAAAAACAACCAAAAAGAAGAACAATTTGAAAGATAAGTATAATATTAGAAAGCAACAGAAGAGGGGATTACAGATGAGAGAGTTAGAAGTAGAGAGATGAGGGGGTAAAAAGGGGAGGGAGAAGAAGAGGGGGGAGAAGGCAAGGAAAAGAAGTTGTAAAAAACAGAAACAAGAAATGGAGAAACAGAGAAAAGATATAAGGATTGTAACCATAAGCTTGTTTAGAGATAATGGGTGAAAATTTAATTGCAAAAGGGATTCTGCAAAGGTAGCATTGTTATATTACAAATAGAAATAATTTTAGAAAATATGATGGATAAAATATTTACTGTAATGTAGTGGGATGTTTGTTAATAAATAAATGAATTAAAATGATTGAATTAAAAGGGAACATTTTTAATTATTAGTAATGATTTATAAAAATATAAGTGAGAAATATGGAAAAAAAGAATTAACTATGGAAAGTTTATAAGTGTTCCCAAGGAAGTATGATATTTAATTGAAAACAAATGTTAAAGAAGTTAAGATGTTAATGCATATTAATGATAGAATTGAACTGGAATGGAATGTGTGTTTTATTTACATATATATATAAATAAATAAATAAATATATATAATTTTTTCTTTTTAAGAATATAGTCTCTATTTTAACAATGTACCAAGCAGAACTCGATTTGAAATTGTGTATTATATTGAATGCTATAATCTTAAAGGTATACATTGAAGCTTAAATAAGAGTTTGAATGGATAAAATTAAAGGATATAAAGGTGTCATGCTCTAATTGGTAATTACAGGGAAAAATTTGCTTAATAAGAAAAGATAATGTGAAATTGAAACAGGACAGACAAAAGTATAAATATAATTATTTGAATTGAGATGAGATAATTAAAACAAAGTTGAGAAAATTAAAAGAGGGGAAAAACTATGTAGAAAATATAAAATGTAAAATAATATAAGATATGGAATAGAATATAAAAATGAGCATGAAATTGAGTTTTGTGTCTGTATGAAGAAGTGATAACCTGGGACCATGCTACTTTCAAAAAAGATGTTTTATTTGTATTTTGTTTTTGTGAAAACCCAAATAAAATTTTCAAAAAAAAAAAAGAGATAGAATTTCATTAAAAATGAACAGTTTTATGTGATGTAAAGAAGAAATATGAGACATTAGGGAAAAGAAAATCAATAAAAAGCTATAATGTTTTATTAAAATATAAACTGAAAGTATTTCCATATTAATCTCCTCTTTGAATAACAAGAGGCTTAGCTAAAATAACAATAATACATTCATGAAATTTCAAATATTTGGGGTCAAATTATACGCATGTTCAGTTGTTTACTGACTGCAGAAAAATAGGTGGTCTTCAACTTACGATCTTGAGTCCAAAATTTTCATTGCTGAGCAAGGCAGTTAAGTGAGCAGTGCACCATTTAATGACCTTTTTGCCACAGGGGACTATGAGTTCCAATCCTGCCTTGGGCATGAAAGCCAGGTGGGAGACTTTGGGCCAGTCCAACCCACCTCACGGGATTGTTGTGGAAAAATAGGAAGAGTAACGTCAGGCACGAACAACCAAACTTTATTGTTCTATGCCTACTTCACAGGGATCTCTCCAAATTGGCAGCTTTTGCATGGGAAATACTAGGTAAGACTCAAAGACATTCAGGAAGGTTAGGCCTTGTCCTCTTGCGTTTACTTCATGAGTCCAGACTAATATCCCACTTGAGGCCTCCTCCCGATTGGGATGGTGGCTTTCCAATAAGGAAAGAGGTAAGGATAGTCATTTGAACCCCAAATTCCTTTTCTAAACAAGACAGTTATTAAGTGAGTTTTGCCCCCATTTTATGCTGCAATGGTCTTATATGTGGAAACAGGTCATAAGTCAACTCTTTTCAATGCTGTTGTAACTTCGAATAGACACCAAGCGAATGGTTATAAGTCAAGGACTATCTGTAAGTTCACTGCTTTGAATTGTTTATAAAAATAATAAAGGAGGGATGTAGGTTAAGTTAATAAAGAAAAAAATTTAGAAATAGAATTGCACTAACCCCAAAGCTACAGATTAGAGCAAACAGACCCCTCCATTTGTGAATGTGTAAACAAGACAATACTGCAGGACCTCTCATTGCAAGGGTTGAGAAACCAGGATTAAGTCCAATTCTTAGTTTCTTTTAACAGCAAGTAGAGCAGAGGTGTCAAACTCAAGGCCCACAATCTGGATCCGGCCAGCAGGGTGCTTAGATCTGGCATGTGCCACCGCCCTTGAAACAGTAAAGGACTGGGCCGCAGTGCCTCTGCCAGCAAAAGCAAACATCTCTTGGGCTCCGTTTTCGCTGGCCGAGGGCTTCAGGATGGGGAGCTGGCCGTGCCCCCCCTACCCCCCCCCAGTGGTGGGATTCAATTTTTTTTACTACCGATTGGTGGGTGTGGCAGGGGAAGGATACTGTAAAATCTCCATTCAGAGATGGTATTTGCCAGTTCTCTGAACTACTCAAAATTTCCACTACCGATTCTCCAGAACTGGTCAGAATCTGATGAATACCACCTCTGCTGCCCCCCACCCCCACCCCAGGTCAAGCACAACCCTGATGAGGCACTTAATGAAATCAAGTTTGACCCCGCTGAAGTAGATTATAGAGAATTGACATGTAACCTCCCTAGCCGGGTCCACTCCAGATATGGCCACGAAAGACTGACCTGTGCTTTTTCAGAGCAGTTGCGCATAGCCTCCATCAGCTTTTCCATTTGCTGGCCCTGCTCCAAGGCGTTCCTCAGGACATCCTCAGTGCTGACCAGCCGGTGTTGCAACCGGAGAATCTCTGTCTCCGAAGAAGGATCAATAAGGGAATACCGCCGCTGATCCGTGACTGCTTTTTCTTTGTCCTGGATATTTCATTTTTTAAAAAATAAAATAAGGAATTAGATAACTATCTGCTGCATTCATTTATAGGAAATCAGGAGAAAGTATTAAATCCGCATCCAAAGGGGGAAAGGAGAAGCAAAGGTGGGAGATCTTTTGAATATATTAAATATTAATTGTTTTTTTAATCAGGGCAACCTGGTCAAATATGGGATGGAGCATACTGCTTCAAACACATAATCTCTCCCTAGGTATAGCCAGCAAAGCAAGGAGAGCCTGTGGCTTAGAGATTAATACATCTACCTAATATGTAAGTAGCCTGAGTTTGAATCCCAGAAGATTATGGCTAGCTGACGAGAGCTAAATAGCTTGAAATAGATCTAAATTAGTCTCCCTTTATTTCTTAGTCGGTAAATATAAATTTAACACATTAAGTATTAAATAACAGATTAAATAAATATTAATAATAATTTAGTAATGATATTAAATAATAATTTAATAATAATATTTAACAATAATATTAAAAGGCAGAGTTAAGACGCAGAGGTGGGGAACAATGGACCCATTCTGACTGGTGGACTTCAACTCCAACATCCCTGGTTTAGAGATTGAATTCTGGGTCTCCCTATCAGGAATTTGTCACCTCTCTTAAGTCCATAAAGGGAACGTCTTTCTTATGTAGAAACTGAGAATGATAAAGATAATAGTGGCGCAGGGTTGTAGTTAGGTAAACCTTGCAAAAAGCAAGAAGTAAAACATCCTTCACTTCCTCACTCCATAAACTGTTTCAAGGTCAAAGTGCTTTCTCAGCCCATAAAAAACTTTTAATTTCCTACTGAAAGGTACAGTCTTAAAGGCTAAAGCCTGTGAGGTTTATCAGGGGTGGGATTCTACCGGTTCAGACCGGTTCGAATGAAATGGATATTAAATTTGCAACTGGTTCGCCAAACCGGTATTTGAACCGACCGGCTGCCCATGCCATCCCACCCAGGAATCTCCACGCAGCATTTTCGATGCAGGTAAGTGCAGGGTCCATGAGGAGGCTCTCAGAGAGAGAGAAATGGGCCTGTTTCCGGCTTCCGGAGGGCCTCCAGAGCCCGGGGGAGGCCGTTTTCGCCCTCCCAGAGGCCCGAGGGAGGCCTCTGGACCCTTGGGAAGGCAACCTCCCCAAAGTTTTGGTAGGGCACGCCCATCATGGCCACGCCCACCCAGCGACTGGGCAGCGAGCTGGCTGCTGGGATTTTTGAATCCTACCCCTGAGGTTTATGCACACCTTCGAAAGCAGTATAGAATAAATCTTAATGACCCCCCAAGTGCACGGAGGGATGTCACAGGGAAAAGGAATCGAATATTTTATGACCTGTCAGAATTATCATTCAAGTTAGCGACAATTCATCAAAAAATGCTTTGAACTGTCTAAAGCAATCCTGCCTAACTGAAGAGAACGTAGTTTGCTGGGTCATTCAATCCATGAATAATTAAATGTGAGAAGCAATTTCAAGCAACTTTCTGAAGATGGCTTGCAAATGAACCGGAGTTATGAATTCATGATTTCTAACCTGATAAACTGAGTTTAATGGGAAATCTGCTAAAGACTTCTCCTACCTGTGTAGGAGAAGAGAATTTAGGAGAAAACCTACGGATTCAAGGCTCAGTGAAACTCTTTTGCAGGAGTAAGCAAACTATTCTTCCTCCAAATCGTGCTAATCTCTTTCTCAATTTTCTCTAATCTTCTGAAACAGGAAGTGATTCCCAATGTCCTGGATATGGTCTAAGCTCATGTGGAGCCCCCACTAGCACCGCTAGAATGGAATTCTTTGGAAATTCCACTAGAATGGATTTTTTTTTTGCTCAGACAGTAACATAAGTCCATTAAGGGAGCACCTTATGATCTTTGCTTCTTGGCTCACTGATATGGACACCAAGATGAGAGTTGGCAAAGTTATAAAAAAGTTTCATGCTGAAAAACATCAAGTCAGCCAGTCCTTCAGCATTGTTTCCTGAACCAATGAGGTCTCCTGCTTCTGAAGATGCTGCACAACTTTCCATCACTTCTGTGGCCCCCTCTGCACAGCCAATTGACAAAAGAGGCTTTGCACATGTGTACTGTATGCACAGCATCCTCTTCCACTTACAGGTAATTCTCAACTTATGGCTACAGTAGGGACCAGAATTTCTGTTGCTAAGCCATGCAGCTGTCGGAGAAATCGTGCCCGATTTCACCTTTTTTGTCATGGTTGTTAAGTGAATCATTGCAGTTGATAAGTGAATCACGTGGCTGTAAAGTGAATCCAGCTTCCCCCATTGGCTTTGCCTGTTCGGAGCCAACTGGGAGAGTTCCAAATGGCAACTGCATGACCTTGGCATGTTGTAACTGTCATAAATGTGATCAATACATGCCAGTTGCCAAGCACACAAATTCTGATCATATGACCATGGGGATGTTGTAGGGGTCATATGAGGATTGGTTGCAAGGCACTTTTTTCAGGGCTGTTGTAATTTCAAAATGTTGCTAAGCAAATGGTTGCAAGTTGAGGATTACCTGTATTGGAAAGTCTGAGGAAGGTCCAGAATCGATCTCTACAAAGTAATTAGAATAGAATAACAGAGTTGGAAGGGACCTTGGAGGTCTTCTAGTCCAACCCCCTGATTAGGCAGGAAACCCTACACCAATTCAGACAAATGGTTGCCCAATCTCTTCTTAAAAACTTCCAGTGTTGGAGCATTCACAATTTCTGGAGGCAAGTTGTTCCACTGATTAATTGTTCTAACTGTCAGGAAATTTCTCATTAGTTCTAGGTTGCTTCTCTCCTTGATTAGTTTCCACCCATTGCTTCTTGTCCTGCCCTCAGGGGCTTTGGAGAATAGCTTGACTCCCTCTTCTTTGTGGCAGCCCCTGAGATATTGGAAGACTGCTATCATGTCAACCCCTAGTCCTCCTTTTCATAATTCATGCAATTATTCCACTGTGATGGGGTGAATCGTATTTCCTCCGCAATGTACCTCATCCAGGCAAAACTGCCTTGCTGAGGCTCTGCATAGGATGTGTATCAGCTGGACTAACCAGCCCTAAATTTTCCACCCGCCCTGTCCTCACCAGGATGCTGAGTTTTTCTCGCAGTCCTTTGATGTCATCTTTGAGCTTCTGCTCCTTCAGCCTCCACTCGGCTTTGTGCACCTCGCGGCTTAAGTCTCGCTCAGGGCCAGGCGAATGCCGGTTGGCTTCCATTAGCAACGCCCGCAGCTCATTCAAGCTTCTGCAGGAAGAGTGGAGAGAAGTTCGGAAAGAGATCTCAGCCTGCCTGTGGGAGAGAATCTATCAAATATCTCAACGAATTTGATTCTAATACTGGAACTGCTTTTAGCTTTTATTGATGTATTTATTTGCTTTCAGTCGGTATTCAACAAGTGGGATGGAGACGTATATGTGTGTGCATTCTGTATACTACTCTGGCCTCCTTTAGGAGTAAGAGATAACAAAAATTGTATAATTTATTTATGCTTTTAAAAGTGCAATATGACAGCTAAAAAGCCTTCCATCAATAAGGAGGTACTACTTAATCCAACTGTTGTATTTGATAGTTGCCATCTAATAATTAATAATCTGGGAGTCAATTATCTAAGACAGTTCCATAACTGAAGCAGCAACTGTGAGAAGGCCCTGCTCCAAATCAGGTAGGGAGGAAGGGAGGAAGGGAGATGGAAGGAGGGAAGGAAGGAAGGAAGAAGAGAGGAAGGAAGGAAGGAAGGAAGGAAGGAAGGAAGGAAGGAAGGAAGG